GAGCCGGCGGGGCCCGCCACACATGAGACCCTCCACGACCTTCCCCGGCCTGTTCCACCTCAGCACCTTTGGACTCTGTCTTTTCATCCTGTGCTTTGGTTACCTGAAGGTTCTCAGAGTGGCCAGGTCTCACTGTAAAAGAATCGACGTCATCACAGTTCAGACTCTGCTCCTACTGGTGGACCTCCATCCAAGGTGACGGTCTGGAAGTTAGGCTTTTATTACACTACGTTTTCTTCATCAATAACACATCTACAATCACAAAATGTGAAATAATGCAAAACTAAATCATGGAATAAAAGTAAATGTAAATGAATACAAAATATAGGCATTAATAATTATAAAGGGCTTCATAATAATTTATATTCTAACATAATATTTAATTGTTTTAAATGTAAAAAAATTAGCTACAATACAATTACATAACTCCTCTTTCAACACAGTGGCTACTACCTATATATTAGCCCAAACATATGATAACAACAACAACAACTATAATAATAATATTTGAAAAGTATTATCAGCACTAATTATCATAAATGTCTCCCACTTATTAAACCTGTGTTTGCAGTGTAAAAGACAGATGTCTGGCACAGCAGAAGAAGAGGAGGCAGCGGGCCACTAAGAAGATCTGTGTCTTCATTGGCACCTTCATCATCTGCTTCTCACCATATGTCATCACGAGGTAACGAAGCGTGATTATGAATCTATGAGAGAAGGTTTCTTGTGTTTAGGAACGTCGTGCTTGTCATTCATCCTGGTTCCAGACAGTCTTTATACGAGGGGACACATATGGGTGCAAGGGGTATTGATAAGTGAGGTTATTTAGCACAGCACTAACTGGTATGCAGTTTTATTATATATTTATATATATAGGGATGTCCGATATTAATTATTTGCAGATGTCCAATATGCTGATATTGTCCAAACCCCTAATTTCTAATTCTGATATCAACCGATACCGATATAGGTCTGGTAATATTTATTTATTTATCTGATTTGTTGGCACCATCATTCTGCATACAATCTCCTGAATATTAAAATAGCTTATTAAATGAGCTGCAATGCTGCCATCTAGTGACTTTCACTTTCATATAAGGCCGTTTATCCCCAAAACTATTTTTATGGCATGTGTGATTGTGACGAAACCCCGACATTGCGTCAACAATTCTTACAGATATTAAATAATTATGCTAATATCGGTCAGCCAATATTATCGGACATTCCTATATAGGTGTGTTACATATTGTATGTAAACACTAGAAGTGTGTTGTCATCTGTAACTACAGTAGGATGAGACAGTCATTGAGGCTATGCCACTTCCAGGTTCATTCTTGACTCACATTCTTCTTCTGACTCTGGATCAGATATTCTGATGTCCAGCAGCTATTTCACTTTTGCTGCTGTGGTTACGTGAAGCCAGCGCATGCAGTGTAACATTAGCAATTAAAGGTAAAGGCACAACTAATATTGAACTGTCCTGTTTCTTGTCCAGGTTGTTGGAGTTGTTGCCCCACATGCACATTCCGCGTTGTGTGGGAATTGCCACCAAATGTCTGTCCTACGCCAAGGCCTCCAGTGATCCTTTCGTCTACTGTCTGCTGCGGCAGCAGTACAGAAAGGTTCTGGTCAGTGTCATCAACCGAGTTCTGAGGAAAGATCATTACCCGCTGTCTGCCTACAGCACCAGCAGCACACTGGACACCACGGACAACATCTACATCACCAGGATAACCTGACGTGTGTGTCAGTCTTCTGATAGGTCAGTGTCTGCTTCCTTTCTGCAGCAGCAGTTAAAGGTCAGGGATCTTTAAAAACAGCTGCACTGTGTGAGGAGAGAAGTCGGTGCCTTGCAAAAGAGCACTTCAAATGGAGGCTGAATTGCAGGTCTGTTGTTGACAGTTGGACGCCTGGAGGTGTGGTTTCTGGTGTGAGTCCAGATACTGTCCAGTCTTCACAGACCGGCTCATCAGTTTGGCTGTTGAAATGAAATGCTAAGAAGGGTTTCACTATATAAAGCGTAACAACACGTCTGTGTCTGTGCTGTGACCATGAACGTCCATGTTTGTTTGAAACACTGTTAACATTTGTAGGAAATGTTTTTTCATGTTTTGGTGGGAAAAAAATGTTGAAAATGTTTAATCAAATGACTGTTAATAAGATAAAGTATAATATTTATGCCATTGTTTGACACATAACATGACTGACAAGTGTTTTAAATGTCACATCATAGCATATACACAGAGTGTGTAATAAACTTAATATTCATAGCAATGCAAATTGTATGCTAACCGCCTGAACTGATGCACACTGGACAGTAAAGTCACGTCGATATCATTTCTTCAATTCTTTTACGTCTGATTAAATCAGTTTTATGAGAAGCAAAGATTGTCTACATGAATAAAATATTTGTGCAATAATTTCTTTATGTGCAATACCACTGAAAAACCATTAGGGGCTTGTCTGTACAGAGTAATACAGTACATTTACTAATAAAGAAAGAAAAACTTATTTTATCTGCAACATTACTTATCAAACATATATGTCATTCAGCAAAAATATTTAATATTTTCATTTTCTGATGAAATTTGCTTTAAATTACAATGGGCATTAAGGATAAAAAAATATGTACAGTTATCATGAAATATGTTGCTCTTTAAGATTTAAGTCAGAGTGACCCACCAGAGAAAATAAGTTAGGCCTACAGTGTAGCAACAAGGTAGAAGTCTGGATCCTCACTGTGGAGTTTTTGACTGTGCTGTCATTACAGGCCCCTGAGCAAAGACCATATCATTTAGTCTAGTTGATCCTCGCAAAAGTACTGTTTAGTGCAAATGAACATAATAAGCTGTGAGTAGGCCGAGGCCCAGGGCACTCCCCGTGGAACTACACTTATGGTGCATTAGTGGAGCAACAACACTGCTGTACCTCCTTCATCTTCCTCCTGCTTCACTATTTCAGGAATCTTGGATCTTCCTATTGTTCTTCAACATCCTTCCTTTTCTGTCTTCTGTCTCCTGCTGCAATAAGAATAAAATCTTAAATTAAACAAATCAAAGGTAAAGTTTCTATTTTTTAATGATAACAACTATTTTAATTATGTGGAAAGAGAGATGTTTTAAATTGCAGTTTTAGAAAATGCCCTCCTCCAAACAATAATGAGCCACAGCCATATCACTGTTGATCAAACACACCAACACACACACACACACACACACACACACTTAGTTTAGGTTCCTGTTCAGGTATTGAGCAGTTATTTAGAAACTGCTGACTGATTTCTACCTCTGCCGTAATGACCCATTGGGGGTTGTGAACCCCATGTTGAAGAACTCTGATCTAGACTACTTTCAGGTCATCCTTAGATAACTTTTGTTGTTGTTGATATTCTCTACCCTCTCTCTAGGTGAACACCAGGGGTCGTTGGGGGGCTCTTTCAGTACATAATACCTCACCTCTAATAACCTGCAGACAGATGATTAGGGTAAGAATAGCAGCCACAGAGGAGGATCAGAGCTGACGGCACTGTAACGGGTCAGAATCTATTCTTACACCGAACCCGACGAGTAGACGGCACAGAACCATGACGTCAGACAACACGGGCATGAACTTCTGTGGCTCCCACCCCCATCAGCCACGTTTCTTACTCGTGGAATACACACACACATACACACACAGAGTGAAATTTGATCAGTGCTTGTAATAACTCATCGGTGTGCCACAGTCCAAGCACGCCGAGCTTTTTCCGGGGTCAGGGATGACGATGGTGACGATGACGATGATGGGGATGATGATGAAGATGATGATGATGATCGGCGTAGACAAAGGAAGGAGGTTTCCGTGATGTAGGAGGTCGTTATCACCCGACAAAGACAGCGGAGAAGTTGCAGCTTCAAACACACACACAGAAACACACACACACGCAGACACACACTTCGCCACATCACACGCGGTTATTAAGAAGCTTCTGCGACATGCATTCAGGACTTTTGCTGTTGTTTCTTCTGTCTTTGACGGAGAGAGGCTGCAGCGCACCGCAGCTGCAGGGCTGTGAGCCCGGGGACGAGCTCTCTGGTGAGTTTTCAATGTTAACTTCTTATTGTGCAAGAAGGGAACGTGCTGAGCGTCAACCAAAGTGTGAGGAGGTGAATGTGATCTAATTATAATCATATACGTCAACTGTCACTTTAGAACCAAGTATTCAAGAGCAAAAGTTAGTTTTGGAAAAGTTTTCATCAGGAACTTTTCAGTTTCCGGCGGAACATCTGTGGTTGGACTGAGCTGAGGAAGGTTGTTTTCTGACAGACACATTAACACCTGGTCACGCTTTTCTCCACACACCATAAAACATCAGTCTAGACTTTAACAGACACTGTTAGCGCAGACGTGTTCAGTTCATACTTTTGTGATGGCGCCCCCTGGCGGTTTTATGTGGTCTATTCCTGTTTTGCGGATTTTTTTCCTATTTATTGGTTTTTGGCTGGTGATGCAATGACTAATTTTCTTCTGGGATTGATTAATAAAGAATACTGATTGTGCTTTTGATTTTGTTCCACAGGAAGATGCAGCAGCAGCAGTTTGAATGTTTATGAAGAAAAACGTGGGTGGATAAGTATCTACAACTTGAAAAACTAAACTTAAATGTGTAAAGCATTACGGCAGTATTTGGGTTGGAATTGTGCAACACTGAGTTTAAACAGTTTAAAATAAATACCAGAGTGTGAGGGGAACCACCAGCTGAGGATATAGTATCTGTTCTGACATGGGTATGAAACAACAGCTATAAAGATTAACAGCTGTTTTAATGTCAGAATGATAACGTCAGTAGCAGTGATGTGCATAAGTCCTGAGCCAGGACTGATTTGTATATTTTAATATCTGATGAAAGAAGAAAAATGACATAAAATGCTTTAACATCATTTCTGCACTAAACAATTACATGAGCGAAAGTTAAAACCTGTTCCTTGGCACGAGTCATCATTTTCTGTCTTCTACTTTATTTAAACGTCAACATTTTAGTTCACTGACATAAGATGTCACCTTTTTAAAAAAATCACATATCCAAAAACAACAGCTTCAACAAAACAAGAAGTTCTTTATGCGTGGAATTCAAAATAACAAACAGAACAAAAATGTCAGAATCTTAGCTTTTAGAATATTCTAATTTAACTTCACTGTATTTAGTGGAAGAAGAAGAATCTTATTCTGCCTGTTCCTTCATCAAGCGTTAGAACTCCACAGAGGAGGGAATTCTACCCCTTTAGCCCTCTGCTACCCCCCACTACATTATATATACCTGATACAGAGTTCGTGTATCACAGGAGTCATGACTTTAAACCAGTCAACCCTGAAAGTCATCCTTCTACAACGTGAAGTTTTTAGCTTTATGTAGTTTTCCTCTTCCCACAGCCAAATGTACACAGCTCCACCTCGGCTACTGCAATGATCTGGGATATTCCAGGTGAGTCATGCAGCCTTTAACCTTTCAGTGTCAACTGTTGAACCTGACTGTAAATATCTGTCCTTCAGTACGATATTCCCGAACATCCTGGGCCACCGGAGCCGTATGGACGCTGAGTCCGGAGCAGAGTATCTCCTCCTCAGTGTCATTCATGGACTGCTAAATGGTGAGTGCACCCCTGAAATACGACTGGTGGGCTGCTCCGTCCTCGCCTCGCCCTGCAGGAACGACAAGATGATCAAACCGTGCCGCAGCACATGTGAGGCACTGAGGAAGGACTGCATCCACGCCTTTGAGGCCATTGAAATGGCCTGGCCTTATTTTCTGGACTGCGACCGCTTCTTCGCCGGTGCCGAGGAGGGCTGCTATGACCCTCTGGCAGCGATGAGAGGTAAAGCCTAAAGCTGCCTTGGTTTCCACCTGCATCAGAGATGGGTTTAATGGGCTGTGTGGGAAACATGACACTTTCTCTCTGTTTCTTCAATTCTTGGTTTCTTCTCTTCAGCCAGACAAGAGTTAACACGATCCAACCTCCCCCCTGAAGAACCCAGCACCATCATCCAGTTCACATACACCACCAACGCACAGATGTACAATATACTGAAAAAAACAGCTGCCAAATGCTCCCATATTTCTCAAGTCTACAGCATCGGGCGCAGCACTGAGGGCAAAGACCTGCTGGTCATTGAGTTCAGCAACAACCCTGGTCAACATGAGCTGCGTAAGGTCTCCAATATTCAATTCTTTCTTGTTACATCAGTTGAAGCTAGGGTTGTCCTGGTACCATTTTAAAAAATACAACAAAAATTTTAGTATTTTCATTGTGTCCTGGTAAATACCAAGTACCATCACAACTACTTCTTTAGTTGAGATTTAATAAATATGCAATTAACCTAAAGGCAGTGGTACATATATATATACACATTAGTGTGTTCAGAGCTAAGGCCGGTCTTCAGTTCTTCAGTTCAGATATTTAAATGAAGTATCAGCCCTAATACAGATACTCGTATAGGTATCGGTGCATCCACAGCTTCTAACATTAAATCAGTATTTCACCTGTTGTGTTCTGTCTCTGTCTCTGATCTCCAGTGGAGCCTGAGGTCAAGATGCTGGGCAACATGCACGGCAACGAAGTGCTCGGCCGCCAGCTGCTCATCTACCTGGCCCAGTACTTGTGTTCAGAGTACATTCTGGGTAACCAGCGCATTCAGACCATTATCAACACAACCCGCATCCATCTTCTGGCCTCCATGAACCCTGACGGTTATGAACTGGCCGCCGCAGAGGTAGAGGATAGAAATGACCCGGATCTCAGCTACCAGGAAGTAAATTTGTTAACAATCAAACAAGACAAACTGCCATTATCCGGTTCTATTTCAATCTGTTCTGTCCTTTGAGCATGAAGTGCTGAGGTAGAGACGTTTTGTTCTCTGCTGTGGGGTTTGAAAGGTGCTGTAACAACGATACTGTAACTAGGCCTGGGACGATAACAATCGATATATTGTCCCACAAATCATTGCCAATAAACAATAACATTGGCAACATTTTTAGACCAAATTAACCACTGATGTAGTGACGATCATAATAATGTAAGTACACCATTTCAAATGCAGTACATTTTATTTCTCATAGGTATTTTTTTATTTGTGATGGTACCTGAATGCCCTTCGCATTTCCCTCATTATAGGTTTAATTAAAACAACCAACTGAGAAAAGTGCTTTGAACAAATATAGTATATTGGTTCGTCAGTATTTCTTTACTCTTGCATACACTCGATTTAATCCAGGCCAGCAAAATTATTGACTTTTTATTTATCATACGATCAATAGACTTATTGATTATCGCCCCAGGCCTGGTACTTACAGACATGACTATCTAATGCTAATGGAGGAAAGTTTCTGCTCCAAACTGTGTCTTGAATGAATGACAATAAATCATATTAATTTGGTTTAATTTATTAGTAGTTATGTTAAATACTTGCATGTTTTAAGATAAATGATGTCTGCATCTGAGCACAGCTGCAGCGTCACGGTCAATACAACAGAATTTCCATCCATTAGTTACCATTGTGTGCACCAACAGCTACCTTTCCTTGATTTCACAGTACGAGTACATCAACCCTCTGTCTGTCTGTCTGTCTGTCTGTCTTGCTGCCTGTTGTTCTATCTGCCTTTTATCCAAAAAGTCTTAATCGTAGAACATGTGTATGAAAAGAGTGTGTATCCAGTCTTTTCCATTACACTTGTGCACATTTACTTCTGAGAGCAGTTCGGCATTTTCTGTCTTTTTTGCTAAATCTCTCTGATTGTACTTGGCTCCATCCATTACATACAGTCTAAGGTGTGAACGCACAGTTACCTCAGACCACGTGACAAGGATTCTGTGTGAATGTGTGTTTGCATGAGGATCATTAGAGCTGGCCTGCAGTTGATGGAATGCAGCACAAAGTGGATGGACGTATACTGCTCCTCTCTCAGCAGTGTTGGTACTACTGCAATGCATGATGGGATACATTGCTTGTTAGTGTACATCGGATGTACACTATATTTAGCGGTGCAATGTGGGATACATTGAGTTATGAGATATTTTCCGACACCTGCACTATGCACTATGTAGTGCACTATGTAGGGTTAAACTTGGCCTTTAGGCAGAAGTCAGAGGCCAGACTGAACTCACCCACTGCCCCCTGGGGTTATTGTTGGATATGTGTAGTTTACTGAAATCTAATAACATTATATTAGATGACGGACAATTTGAAATGAGATGAAATACTTTACTGAAATCTAATAACATTATATTATAGAGATGAAATAAAATATTTTGCCTGAACAGTGACCATGACATATATGTACCTAAACGTAAGTGCATGTGTTGTATAGTGTTATAGAGACTGGGATCCAAAAGATATAGTCAGTACATTTTTATTGTTCAATATACAAATACTGCATGTTACAGTAATAGCTACAAAAAAGGTTGCTGGTATTTTGTCTGGCTAATTGCTTCATTTCCCCCCCATGACGGATATATGGTCTTGTCTCCATGTTAACAATAGTAAAAAGATAGTCTAACATGTTCCTTACTGTTCCCTACTAAAATTAATATAATGTTTTCTTCCATAAACACTGCTTCCACTAATGTCTTCACATTGGTCAGTGTGTGTGTGTTCTGACTGTCTATTGCTCAATGATGTTGAACTTAACTGTTTCAGGGTCACCTGATGAACGGTTGGATCAGTGGTCGGGCCAATGCTCAGAACCTTGACCTGAACCGCAATTTTCCAGACCTCACCTCTATCTTCTACCGGAATCGCCGCAGTAGGTTTTACCGCATCGACCACATTCCAATCCCTGACTCCTACTGGTTTGGAAAGGTAACGGCCTGTTGTTTCTATGGTTTTAATTACAAATCTGATGATATCTGATGATGAAAAATATAAAAAAATATATACAAAAGAGATTTCTTGCAGAAGCTGTTCAGTTAGGGTACACAATAAATACAGTAATACAATGTTTTGGACTATTTTACTACATGGCGTGTAAACTAGATATTCTTGTCATTCCTATTACAAAATGTTTTTTACAATTTAATTTTCCTGGATTATTTGCAGATAAGCTTTCTTGAAACTAAAGCAATACTTTTCTATATTTGGTCGGTAGGTGGCACCAGAGACATACGCAGTGATGAAATGGATCAGATCGCTGCCCTTTGTTCAGTCCGCCAGCCTCCACGGGGGAGACCTGGTGGTCTCCTATCCCTTTGACTTCTCTAGACACCCGCAGGAGGAGAGGATGTTCTCCCCCACACCTGATGAGCAGGTAGTTAGAGAAGAGTGACGGTTAGGAGAAGTCTAGTCGTGGTGCATCTTGATGAAGTTGCATTTGTGTTTTGTCCAGATCTTTAAGCAGTTGGCTCGAACATATGCAGACGCTCATGCCACGATGGCCAATAATGACACCGAAAGGTGTGGAGCCTCCTTTTACCGAACCAGAGGCATCATTAACGGAGCCCAGTGGTACAGTTTTGCTGGAGGTGAGACACGAAGTTAGTTTATGAGGACTGTCAAGCAATTAAGAAATGCAATCACGGAGTACCTATCATGATTGTAATTAATCACGATTAATTGTATGAAAATGTCTGTCCTGAGTTCAGTCAGACTGGACTGACACAGTATTGGAGTATATTTTTTCCTGGTTTCCTTCTAAACTACGGTTGTTATCATACAGGCATGTCAGACTTCAACTACCTGCACACTAACTGCCTGGAAATCACCGTGGAGCTGGGCTGTGATAAATTCCCCTCAGAGGTGGAGCTTTACCCAGAATGGAAGAGGAATAAAGAATCTCTGCTCAGTTTTCTTGAATCTGTATGTACTGTCAAATGCAATAATAAAATTGTGATAATTACTTAGTATAGTAGTGTTTAGTATACTAGTATAATATACTAATATAATACATTAGTGTACTAATATTTAGTATATGCTGTATAGTCTGAGAAAGCAGTAACGAGCTGCAGCATAACCCTGCAGCCCTAATATTTAGGACTATAGTGAAGGGCTTCACTGTTGACCAAGTTCTGTGTCTGACCAGGTCCACCGAGGGATAAAAGGAGTTGTGAAGGATCTTGATGGCAATGGGATTAAAGGTGCAACACTCTCTGTCAGGGGCATCAGGAAAGATGTCACCACAGGTAAATACAATAGTTCTCCATACAAAATACACACATTTTCTGCTGGCTGGTAATGGTGATGAGTAAGGAGAGCATGTTTGTTTTTTTGCATATCTAATTTTCCCTGCTCTTCCTTCTCCAGCTGAAGACGGCGACTACTGGCGGCTCCTGAACCCAGGTACTCATATCCTGACAGTCACAGCCAAGGGTTACTCCAGGGTCTCAAAGAGGGTTCATATTCCCCATAACATGAACCATGCTGGACGAGTGGACTTTGTCCTGGAAAAGGTTTCTGTGCTTTTTCTAAACATTCTTTTTTTATATATAAATAACAATTGCATTAATCTATATAATGTGTGCTTTTAAGTTATTTTAGGAAATATTAACAGTACCAGGAAGTATGTGCATTTACATTGTTAACTTCAGCTGCATTTCAATTTGTCATCTTCTTGTCCTGGCTTCAGGTTCCTGTGGAGCCTGACATTCATGACCACCTTTTCCCCACGGTGGACTCCTGGGATCGGTTCGACCCCTACAACCAGTTTGAGCGCTACAGCAACGCAGAACTCCAAGAAGTGGAGCAGGAGGAGAAGCCCTGGTGGTGGAACTACTTCTCACAGTCCGGCGCTTCACCTCCACACTGGCTGCTGCGAAATGTCTAAACACACGTTGGATGATGGTGGTGTATCACTGCAGAGGGGGACTGCTGATTGATGTTCACACTCCCACAGTCACTTCACAGGCATCTGTGGACCAGTCAACAGAGAAACAGAGATTTTAGCATCCTGGATGTTTTTGTATGTATTATTGCAACAAGTCACATTTTAATTTAATTTTGGCCTTTGGGACTAAAAAATTACTAAAAAGAAATTAAACATTTTTAATGATGTTAATTTAAGAAGAAAAACACAGCCTGTATGTGTTTGGTCTTTGACCCCATGTATAGAATAATTGCAACTTGTTTCAATCAGACTGTTTGTTAATAAAAAGAAAATCAATGTTATTTCCTAATTTTTTTCTGTAAATTACATGAGGTTGATATATACAGCAAATAATTTTACGCTTTAACCAAATAAAGGCAATCGCTGTTGCGCAGTTCATTTTTGTTGGGTTAACAGAAGCACAGTTTCACATGTGAATCAATATTAACTTCTATTAACTCTCTATATATTTTACGTTTAAATGTGAGCGCCGTGAAGTCTCTTGTCGCTAGAGGGGGTAAGACCCAAAGCAATACAATAATGCCAATTATTTGCTAAAGCCACGGTTCAGAGCAGTTGTTGTCAATTGATAATCAACCCCTAAATAAATAATGCACAACTATATTTGATAGTACATTTGTATTGTGTATTATTTGCATGCCGTTGAACATTTATTGATTTAACAACTGAATACAATATCTAAATAAACATGTCTATTAAACAGAAAAATGTCAAAAAAAAGTTCAAGTCCAAACATTTACAGTTGATATATTTCGAGTATAATCACAGGAGTGTTGTAGTGTTTCATATTAACACACTGTTGCGGAAGAATACTGTTCTAAATGGGGGATGTGAATGATTGAGCGCTCGTCGTATCCTTGCGCCCCGCAGGTGCTATGACTGTACAAGGTCTTTTTAAAACATTTTCTTTTATTTTCGGAGGCCCTGAACTTTTTTAATCACTTTCAAAAAAGGATTAACTATTAAAACATGAGCGACAGTCGTCTTTTGGTTCGACGAAGCAAAATCCTAAAGTCCCGACACACTTTTCTGGAACCTGTCCTCCATTTGCTAACAAGTCAAAGGTAGGAAGATTTCCAACAAATATTTCACCTGAGCTACAAATTGTCCGTCATGTCGCAGTTGGTTGTTTGAGATAAAGATTGATAGATTATTTGTCGCATAGTGTATTAAAAACATGTTGTGATATTAGACAAGTACGGTTCAAATGTGAGATTCGACATTTCAAAGTTTTGTTTTAAAAAACGACTCTAATTTTAGCATTGTGTCACGTTTTGTCGAACTGCTTGGTGTTACACGGCTAAACATGCTAGACACGTATTGTTTTTTTGTTACTGTTTTGTATTGACGTCGTAAAAAAAGCGTACAGACAATGAAATGCAGCTTTAAAGCATGATACTATGTAGACAAATTGGGTAACGTTAAGTTCTTGAATGGAATGATACGGTGTTCAGTGGTTCGTCTGTCTGTACTACAGATGTCTACACTTCTACCAGCCGTGACACAGTTGTTCCATCTGCATTTTACAGCATTAGCAGTTACCATGGCTGGTACAGAGGTGCACAGCAGTCTGCCAATACTCACTGCTGCAGGGGTGGGTGGGTTGTGTTCAACCTCTTCTAACATCACAGTCCACCTGGTATTTGTTTCTGAAATACACTGACCTGTAGATGAACTGATAGCTCTTCATGTACCTGTGTATTAAACAAGAGCACTATTAACATCCATAATCTCTCCACTAAATAGCTGCACTACATAAAGACCTCTGTAGTAAAGACGGTCCATGTTACGACCTGCACTCAGTTAATAAGGACGCTGGAGGAGTTATTGACCTTGTTGGCTGGTTTTATATATATATATACGATGGCTTTATGACCATAAGCTTAATGCATGTCTGCAGCATCTTTATAGACCAATGTATTAGTGAAGTAAATTCATCCCAATGGCAGTGTTCTAAGAACAACTATTCTAAAAATATTGACTATGCCAAGACCCTATCCAAATGCACTTCTTTATAAAAGTCTAAGACTAAACCACAGTTCAACAAAATCATCAACAATCCCAATTTCTTTGTTGTAAAATATTTTTCCAGGAGAAAACATTCATTATAAAATTGCTAGGCAATATACAGAGGAAAGTGATGATTTTAGCAAAGTTCTTAAAAAAACCCTCTGTAATCCCAGTAAAACTAGCTCATTCATGGTGTTTGTTTATAAATGCTCATGATCTTCTCAGTACTTGCTGATAAAATTCCAGATGTTGGTTCAGATAGAAATACCAAGTACACCTTAACTTATGGTCACAAACTGGTACGAAAACCAGATACAGAAAGAACCCCTTCTGTATCTGGTTTTCATACCAGTTTGTGACCATAAGTTGTTCAAGAGTTAAAATTTGGTTCTTAAATGAGGTTAGGAAAATGCGTTTAACAAACTTTATCACAACTGAGTTACTTATATTGGGGTTTTGTTTAGTCTGTTTCACTATATTTCATGTTAAATTTGAACAGTTCTCATACAAAGCTCAGTTTTAAAAACCTTTGTAAAATTGAGTAATTATTTTTGCCTATTTATTCTCTTTCATAATAGGCTTCTAATCCTATGGCAAAAACAAAACATTCATGTTTTCTGATGGCCTATCTTTTAAGAAGAACAATGAGATTGACACATTAAACCATTCTTTGGATTTTCTTTAAAAAGGGAAAATTGGAAAATCAAGCTATAATGATCTACTTTCTAAGGTGGTGATTTCCCTGTCGGTCTCCTTGTATTCCTAGAGTGAATTTCCATCTGCCAGGTTTTAGCCCCCCTCCACTTTAGGACACCATGTAGTCACTTTCACTTTGACTGCATCAATTCTTCTAACATAATATTTTTAACACTCAGCATATATAATGCAAATGCCAAACCACTTTGCTCTAAACTTCCTCTATCATTTCTCCCTCTCTCTTTCTCCTCTCCCTACCAGTATTTGTCAGCCTGTTGTGCCCCATGAGTGGGGGGCTGCTCAATGTGGCATATATGATTTGTTTGCTTTGCAATTATTTTCCATCAGTGGAGACAAATTGACTCACACTGCATAGAACAACCCACACAGACAGGTCTGGAAAGAAGAATCCAGTAGACAGCAAAGTTAGTAATGCCCACCAAAGCTTGAGAGGAACATGAAGCACAGTTCAACCCAGGGTCATACTGACTAATGCTGCTGATAGAAAAGGTTTCACTATTAACACCTGCTTAACCCATTTCAACAGCAAGACAAATTCCCCTTTCTTTTTTCCCAATTGTTTTCTCACCTAATTTGGGTCCAGTTGTTGCAGTTTTGCAAGTGTGCTGTTTTGCACTGCTCTGTACCCAATGTCACAGTGTTGCTAGTTTGTGCTGTGTTTGCATGGCCAGGGGTAGCAGGCTTGAGTTGGTGAGCCTTTTCTCTGTGTTGTGGACAGACAGCTCACGGATTGGAGATGACATTAACCAAGTGGACCAAGTGTTGTTTTTGGTTTAGCGTAACATGATAAATCACGCTTACACTTGAATGCCACCTAATGTCCATCTGTCTGCACAGATCTCTAACAACATTTCTGTTGGCATAGAATTCAGCAGTTGTATCATTTCAAATGCCACCACCTAGAACTGTATCGATTTTTTTTTTTTTTTTTTTTTTTTTTTAATTATCCGAAAAATTATGGACATTCTTTTTTCTTCTCTGGTATTTACAAATGTAGATTCCTCTGTTCCAGTTGTATTAATTTGATGTTTAGTATGTAACAGCATTGTGTGGTTACTATGCTAACAAACATTTAAATTGTTTTAAAAAACTCTGCAATACTAATGCCTGTAGTATTGCACTATATTGCAATACATTATATTGTTGCCTCGTTTTTCTAATGAGAAAGTTGCCAAAGCACCTATATATCACCACATAACATAACATAACTTGACCAATTTTTTTGCATTTGTTCTGAGGTACAGTGGTTCTCAACAGGTATAGACTTATTGGTGTCTCTTGTTCAGCAGCTCAGAAAATGAAGGAGGATCAACTTGGAGCCAGCCACTTCCACTTGAGAAGTGTTTGAACTCGTATGGGTCGGAACTAAAGCTGAGGTTGTACTTGTTGTGTCGGCAGCAAGCGGCTGCTTCATACCTGCAGTCCTTTTGACAATAATGCAACCTGGCAGCCCCGAGGGCAGAGTCCACGCAACTTTCTCAGCCCTCTCAGAGTAATTGGTGACCTCTGATCTTGCCCTTAGTATAAAAGGAGAAGGGGAAGTGGAGAAAAGAGGAGGAGGGGTAGACGGGACGAGGGATAGTCAACAGAGACAGGGTCACCAAAAGGAAGGGAAGATGGAACGATGGGTAAAATCAAAGAGACATGAGCTGGAAGAAAAAAGGTCATTCTGTTTTAGTGTGAACACTTCATCAAAAAATGAATACATCTGCAACACGCTGTAGTGTGATTACACAAAAAGGGGAAATTCAAAGCCCTAACCTCCAAATAGTCCTCTATTGACATTTACCAATAGATAATTCTGTTAACATAAAAACCACCTTTACCTATTTCATATCCTTAGCTTAGAAATAAAAAAAATGTTAAAATCCTCTACATAAGTCATGTTTTTCCTAAAATGCAAAATTCTTCGGCAAAATGGAATGTGTGTGATCTGTCAGCCGTTAGTTGGTGTTGCATTAAGAACCACAGTGTTTCCATGATGGACACAGAAACAGGTTTTTGTACTGGACCCTCAAATGTTGTTAAATGTTTTCATGTCCTTAACATAAGAATAAAAAAATGGAGCCATGATTTATTTATTATTATAGTGATAATTTAGAAAGTTTTTTTTAAAAAGTTTTTACTCCTGTTTGGCCACACAGTTCTGATGCTTTGTCCCTTTCCTCTCCGTGTTTCACTCCATCCTCCCCTGGTCTCCTCCTTTTAAACATTTGTAGATTTGCTTTCCAGTCAATAGACAATCATTTGAATCTACTACATACACAGGATTTGACCATTTTTAGTAGTTGATTCTCACGACATCAGTAACAGTTACTTAGTTTGTAATATAAGACTCCTGTTTAACATTTGTATTCTTCCCATTAATTTATTATGATTTACTTCAGGACTGTTTCTGCTTTTGATTTGGTCTGCTGGACAAGTGTTACCATCATGCACAATGGCTAGTGTCTGGTTGCTGTGGGGGGGTCAGAGGTCAGGACAGAGTAGCTTTTAGCAGCAACATTACATGTGAAATTGGAAACTGCAGCTCCACAACATTTGTGTGTGAAAACTTTGATTTCCTAGGGCAGTTACTGTCAACACCTTCTCACCCGTATTCACCCCCTCCTTGTTCTCTCTCTCTGTGTATTCTTTGAAAGTGAAGTATTTCTGCTGTAGCAAGGGTTCATTCAGATGCCCCCCCCCCCCCTCATTGTATGCAGTTGTCCTGTGTGACTGCATAAATAAAAGACTTGAAGGAACATTTGTATATTGTAAAATATATACTATTTTAAACAGCACACTGGATTATCAGCCCAATCTGATAATTTATAGTAGGTCATTATAATTACTGTGGTACTGTTATGTTTTTGGACTGGCTGACCTTAAACTGTCTTGTAATAATGTGCTGCTTCCAGACCACTGCCCAGGCATGTCATTTAATTTTTTTATTTTTTTTCCAACCTTGCTCTCCAAAAATAAATGCTCTTTAGACCCAAGGCCTATGAAACAAATATAAAAACTGACAATTCAAGTGCACAGGTAACTATATGTGGTATTAGTCATCATGATTCAGAAAAGAAGGCTGAATTTGTACACAGATTGTTGTTTGGCTGTGGGTTATTTTTTATTATTATTTTAAAAATAAATTAATGTTTGGGAGTCTGCATGAATAAACGGACAGAATTCACAGATGAATGACATGGCCAAATGAAGGAAGAACATAAATCCCACCTTTTGTACATGTTAGGACTTAAAATACATTTTCTGTACTTTTTAACCTTGTGGTACAAGTTTCTTGTGGGTGGTTGTAGTAGTGTGGGGGGGGGGGGGGGGGGGGATTGTCTGCTTTTGTATTTCTGGGTGCGAAGGGCAATTAGAAGTTAAGTGTCCTGTCAAACGATGCATTGAAATCTACACCATTGCAGTCAGGGATGGAAATCCAGCCTTTCGTAAAAAGATGATAAACAGTATCAGTCTGTGGAACTATAACTGTCACAATGAAGGTTTCTTATTGAAATTTGTGGTTTATCTCTGAATATGGTAGGTAGGTGGTTGATTGTGAATTGCCTTTAGTGTAAAAATACTATTAACACATTTTTGTCTTTGTCTTTTGCAGACAGGGCTCTCCTATGGCCTTTGCACGATTCAGGTAAACTGTTTTTTCTTCTTCTTTTAATTGTGTAAAGTAGTGATGTATAATATACTTTAACATGACAGACAATGGCCTGGTCCAGAAAGTTTGTTCTGTTGGAGTTTCATATCTATTTCTTAAGCAAAACCAATACAGTATATCATCAGATATATGGTCATAAATATCTGTATATTTTTTTGAGAGGTGAACGGTTCTCAGTAATAAGGTGTATCTAAACAGCATAATCCTTTATATCTGAATTGATTTAATTAGCAGCTTTCCCAAATTGGATCTTTTATTTTTTTGACTAAGAGGTAAGAGAAAATATGTCCATTAACATGTTTATATCAACATCACATCTGGACACTGTTTCTAGATTAAAAGATAGTAAGGTAGTCCTGACAAAGGTCTGACTTTAGATGCTCACAGAGTAACATATGAGCTGAGCTGGTAGAGGACACTGGTTGGGTCACCACTTATTAAACACAGTCAGATCAGAGACCTTGCTTTTGCTCTTTGATAATATTTCCTCTGGGATGACAAATATGTAGAAGAACACTTTAAAAGTCAGTGAAGATGATAGAAAACGAGGAAATGCCCTGAGGGCAGAAGGCAGAAAACCACAGTGCAGTTAGACACAGCTACTTTAGCTGTCATGATGGAGCACCTGAACGCACCAGTGGACACACACAGTCAGCATCAGTGAACAGACATACTGAAATAGTGATGTCTACTAAAACTGAAAGACTTGTGTTTTCATAAATGGCTTTTTGAAGTTGGTTTTTCAAAATATATTAAAATCTGAGGCATTAGGAACAACAACACAAATATTAAGCTAAAATTATCTTGGTACGTTGGTTGTCTACTTTTTAGCTTATAATTTCTGCCCTGAAGAGAAAACAACTCGTCCCTACATTTATGGATGCCATAAAGATAGTTCTATCTAACTGTCTGTGTATCTAATCAATCGATCTAATCTATCTTTAGGGCCATCTTAAATCCATGGCTTCTACCCGGTAGTTGGAAGCCAACTGAAAAGTCAGACCAAATGGCCCGTGCTCTCTTGAGGTAGTTGGTGTGTCAGAGCTGATTAGAGCCATGAAGGCATGAGTAGACTTTCTGCCATGACAGGTGATGGTGTTCAGTTGAGGCACTGTCCTGTTTTCTTGTCTCTGTGTTGAGACAAGGAAAATAGAGCAGAGAGGTCGTGGTGATGGAGATGATAAAAGGTAATTCCTCTCACACCACAGAGGTCTCTCCTCTTTGTTTGTCCTGATTTTGTTTGTGCAATCACACGACAGATCACACATTGCAATGTGACAGTAAACAATTCAGCTCTGGTTAAAGAGTTAAAGAATACTGATATCTTTTTATTAATTTGCCATCTTTATAGCTTTATATATAGAAAAGCAGCAACATTTGGATTGTTAATCCACTTCGTACATTTTCATCCTTGTCACTTGACTAAAGCTAAATCCTTTGCATATGATCGGCCACAATCTTTAACTAAAGTGATCTTATGTTGGATAATGGCATGTAGTCAATCACATGTAGATGAGTTTCTTAAACAGAGTGAAGTGCTCTGTTGTACCGTAGCGGAGCCTCAGCTGAATTTAATCTGCAGTTTATCTTTATAACCCCCTTGATAAGCCTAGATACATCAAGGCTTACAACAAAGCTAACGTTAGCTTAGAATTACCAACCAGGTGCCTTAATCAGGCTGCTGGGTTGTCAGCACGTATAACAACATGCTTCTAAGGGTCCCTTTGTAATAATAATCCATGGTCCCAGCAGTCTATGACGTCATGGACTGGACTGGTGCCTGTGGGAGCACTGGACAGACTGTGTGTCTCTAAGGCCTATTGCTAAGATGTCTCTGTGTGTGTGTGTCAGAGAGAGAGACTCTACTCCCTATTGTGTTCAATACTACAGTGGTGTTCCAACTGTTTATGTTTGGACATAACTGCACACTGTCTCACAGACCGGTGTCATTAACACCTTGCCACTGATGGTATATTATTGGAAAGGTCAATATGTCAGCTTTATCTTGACTAAAACTGTGGTACTGATTAAGGACAATATCCTTACAGTCTTACACACACACACACTACCATTCAAAAGTTTGGGGTCACCCATACAATTTTGTGTTATCAATTAAAACTCACACTTTTATTTATGCTCCCCTTGCAGCAGCTGCAGCATTGCAAACCAATTTCATGTCATCTTTATATGTATATATATCATTAATATCTGTTGTTTCCACACGTTATTTATTGTATTGGAATTGTGCTCAATCTAAGGATATTAAATCCTGTTTTGGAGCTGTACTGCTGGCTTTTCCAGTTATTGATAATGCAATAGTAGTTTGATAACATGTTGAAATAATTTACATATAATTTTCTGTAAAGAAAGCCAGTTGCCCACACGGACAGGTGGCTGCAAGCAGAGGAACTGGTGCTGAAGAAGACAGCACTGGAACTGGAGGAATCACTGAAACTGGCACTGAAGGCAGATTTGACACAGAATCTGCCACTTACACTTGCACTAGATGTGAAACTGCAGCAGGAACTGGAACTTGAGGTTCAAATGGCACAAGAGCTGGCAATAGAGGTGGAAAACGCACTGAAAATGGGGGTAGAAGGAGAAATAACTCATGCACTGGTACTGGCACAAGTTGTGGAATTGGTGACACAGTTGGCAATGGAAATGAATGTGATATTTAATAAAGTACAGACACTGGCCACAGCACTACAGCTAACACTGGAAGTTGAACACAAGGTGCAGCTCGCACTTATTACGTCACTGGAGAAGGCATTGCTACTGGATGCAGCAGTGGAAGCTGCAACAAAATCAGCAATGACTTTAACACGAGAGGCAGAATTGGCATTGGAGGTGGCATTGGAAATGATACTGGAATTGGAGGATGAACTGGAACTGTCACAGAAAGTTGAGTCTACTCTGAAAGAAACTCTTAGGAGGACAAAGGCCATGGCACCAAAATCGGCCCTGGTTGCAGCACTAACATTAGAGGTGGCAGTGGAGATGGAATTGGCTTTGGAGCTTGCTCTGGCAGTTGAATGGACTTCTGTCAATGTACGGGACTGTCAATAGCTCCAGCCATCCATGCTTAACATCAGCTAGAATGACCCAGGACTCAGTGGCTCCACAGAGCTCTACTGCAGAGGTAATGTGTCAGCATCATTCAGGAAGCCTCAGGCCTGAGGAGTTTCGCTAAAATGTACTATCACTTAGCTTCATGCAGAAAGGATGATTTTCCAGGTCAAAATAGCTAAAACAGCTAAATGCTGTGGAAAGTGGGTAAAAAAGATCAGTGAAAATGTATCATTTTCATTCCTAAAAAGCTTAAAGTCAATCTAAACATATGTAGGCTTATGCTTTAGCTTACTTACTGTTACTTTTAAAATAGATGCAATTTTTAAGTCTTTTTGGGTGTTGAAGCCCTTACTAGAACATGGACTCAAGCTCTGACCCTAGCTGATGCTTTTACAAGCCACTTGAATGTATGGTAAAATTTATTTTTTCCTCTTATCCTCTTAAGTTAAAATTACAGTTTTTTTTTAGACTTAAATTACAATGAATGACCTACCATGAATACATCTTTTTTTTTTTTACCCCACTAATGTACCTAGGCTATTGTAAAACCACACCCTCAGTCATCTTAGTGACTAATCAGTTGCTTTTTTTGTGGAATATCTTTGCCCCTCCCCCTCGATGTGTGTGTTTGTCTGTTAATCTCTCTCCATGAGAACCTTTACCCTTTCAGCTGAGTTCACAAAGTCAGAGTCGAGCTAATCTGGTTTTACCTTAACTCCTAAAACAAGCCTGCGATTAATCTAGGAATGGCAGTAATCAGGTGTAAACTTGTTAATATGTGCATGATCAGCTCTCTGGTTGAGGGGGAAGGGGAAAAGGGCCACAAAAATCTTCTTGGACATACATAACACATTAGAGATTTACCAGTAATTTTTGGAAAAAACAATTAATAATTATAAATAATAGTTTTTACACTGTGGAAATCTCACTGTAAAAAAGACTTGTTTTCTTACACCCTGATGTCACTGAGACAAGCAGCTCAGCTGAAGCTGGTTAAAAAAAAACAAAAAAAAAAACTTCTCTTACTGCAGGGGTGTCAAACTCATTTTCACCAGGGGCCACATGTACTTAATTTTTACTAATTTACTTGGGCACTGGGTGGTACTGGCTGACCAGTCAAAAAAGGTTGTGGACCGCTGGTATAGATGTAACTACTCCATAACAGACTAATACTTGTTTCTGCAATTGATTATTATTAATTCAAGCTACAAATATTGTTCATTGCTGTGTAATAATAATACACAGCAATAATAATATAATAATAATAATAAAGCTCCCACGGGCCACACAAAACAGCTTGGTGGGCCACATTGGTTCACGGGCCTTGAGTTTGACACGTGACTGTATAGATCTTCCAATTCTAAAATCACAAAACCTTGTATCTAGTACTTTTAAATGATTTCTAATGGGTGAGTTTGTTGTCCCTAAATGATAAATAGGTTAATTAGCTCCTAATCAGTAGTCTGATCGTCCATCCATCGTATAGCTGTGTAAACATACTAATTTCTAGGATCCAATAGCTAAATTTCACAGTGTAGTCCTGATGTGAGGTTTTTGTTCAGATTATTGTCAGAAAATGTTCATCTCCACTCAGTCAGGACAATTCTATAAACACAGACAAAGAGAGATGATACATGCAGGATGAGAAGGAACACTATGATGAATAAATGAGTCAAGTGGAGATGAGGGAATGTGTTTTTTCTTCCCCCTACCACCTCCATCACCACCTCTGCGTCATGTTGGACAGTTAAGTGTACGTCATCTATAATTGCTCGCCATGTCTTCTTCCACATCACTACTTTACCACTTCTTTCTCAATAGAAATTGCTCGATGGCATTAAATATGTAAAATTAGCATTTTAAGTAGAACACATTTCTATGTCAGCCCTGACCCCCCTTACACTCCCCTACCATCCCCTCTGCTCTAGCCTGCCACCAAGCCCTGAGAGCAGAAGCCACACAAACTCATGCATGCATATGATATGCATCTGGTCATCTCCATGGTAACACTTTGGGGGGAAGGTAAGAGCTGGAGGACAGGAGGGTGAAAAGGTGTAGTTCTGGCAAGTGGATTAGAATGTATTTATTTTTTATTCAGTGAGTTTATTCAGGATGTAAGTCATACTAACAGTCTAGTAATGCACAGAGCTGCATTCACAAGAATCACAGGGAGATGCAGTCGCTACGTGTTGTCTAAAAGCAGACATGAGTTAAACTGGGGTCGTCATCTATTTCTATGCAAAAAGTTGATATTAATCAATGTTGTGAAAATTTATCTGGGCCCTTTTCTTAAAAAAACTCACTATAACACTATAAAGTTAATACTTTAGACAAAAAAGACTGTCTCAGATGTAGTGCATGAACGTCTGTTTTATATCAGAACAACATGTCTGTCTAATATTGCTAGAAAAAGATTTTGTACTTTTTTAAAAATTAGATATGTGGTAATAGAAAAAGGTCTGAAGTTAGCCTCCCAAAAGAAATTTTGCAGATTTAACTGCATAATTGATTTGGCTGTTGAACAGACAGAGAGTGGGATGGAGAAAGCCACCATTTGTGATGTTATAAAATAAAGGAAACCATTGTTTGATGACATAATTGGTGGCATGTAATGGGTGACCTTGTCTATGCCTGGTTTTATTGGCTTCAGTTTGACTAATTTGAATTGAATGTAAATCATTTTCCATTATTGCTTTTGCTTGTTCAGAAAAAAAAAGTAATTGGAAAGGTTGATGCTGCATATACATTTGCTTCCGAATGTTGTTGAAAGACAGCATCTTGTCAAAAGTTCTATAAAACCGATTGAAAAATTAATTGAAAAAATCTGTCAAGATAAAGGATTTCATGAATTTGTCGTTGGTGTCGTTTTATGCTCATTAACTATGACCTGGATGCAGAAACACGAGGACATGATGACCATGTGTTTTTGTTCTGGCCTGTGTGTGTGTGTGTGTGTGTGTACTATGCCTTGCAGCTTGACTCCTCTCTGGGATTATTTGTGACCTGGCCAGTGTACAGAAGCCCCTGAAGCATCATTCATTAGAACTTATTTAACTTCAATTCTGCCCTCTTGTCCAGACTCCTTGTGTCTATTTGCCATGTTGTTGACACAAACAGATGCATGAATTGCTTTGTATTTGTTTCTGCATTTTTTGTACCTATTTTCTCTGTACTGATGCTTTTCTCCAAATCCTTCCATTCTGAAACAAACCAACTCTTCTCCCCGAAACAAAAAAAAAAAAAAAAAAAAACTCAAAATAAACTTTGGCAGGCCTTTCCGTCCTAAGCGCCCACATAATCAATCATAACCAGGCCGTACAAATTCATCAGCTTGGATCCATTTTGCCGTAGTTAGAGATCAAAAGGTTGTGAGTTGACTATAGGAAGTCCAGGTACTAACCCAGACTAATTTATCTAACATGGGAGAGATTTAGCCCCCTGAGGAGATGGGGACATGGTTTTTCTCCATCACCTTGAATATCCTCGATGGGGCTCGAGGGCACTTAGTCTTACCGCAGCGTATCCTGTACAGCATTTAACATTCCATTGATCAGATTAATTGCAGCTGATTGTGTCCTGTGTGAGGAAGCGTGTGAAAGTACACATTGAACAGAATAGATTTTAGAGGCGCTAGATAAGAGTTTTCTTTTCTTCTGGGATCTATATGAAATAAACAGTGAAAAGTGACGCACACACGTTTGTGTCTTGTTGAATATTTTATTAGCACTTCTTAAGCACTAGCTAAGAGTTATGTACCATGTTCATGTTGTGTGTCGGAAAAGACACTTGTCCACATAGCTCCGTAAAAGGAATCGGATCATAACTGCATGTCTTTACCTAAACTTCCACGCAAAGGAAACAAGTTTCTTCCAATGTCACTGCAAGCTTTGTCTTTCAAGCTTTTGCCCAAGAAATATGTTTCTCTGCAATTATAAGTAATTGTGAAGGTTGAAATTTGCAAGAGCCTTAAATCCCCTGGTTCTCCTCACTGCTGGAGGGAGCAGTCACCTCTGCTGAAATCAGTGGGTTCAAGTGTACATGCACAAACACACATACACACGCATTCAGCACAAGGGCAACACTCAGGAAGTGGCAGCACTTTGAAGACGGCAATTCATGTTTCCAAGCGTGGAGCACTTATTTGAGGTCAGACTCAGGGTCTATTAGGCCTCTCATATTCATTACTAAACGCAGAGGCGAGAGATCGAGGGAATGAAAATACCCTCTAGTTACCTTGACCCCTGGACCTAGGATGTTTTTTTGTTAGTTTTTAGTCATTAACTTCTAAACCCTGGAATTCAAAGATTATGGTCTTTTGTTTTTTATGTCCAGCAGGTTCCCACTTATGAATACAACTCCTTTGAGCAATTATAGGAAATATTTCCTTTATAGATATTTTTTCTAGGGCTTCTGCTGGTCCTCCTGTGTGGGAATTTAACATTTAGTAAAAAGGTCTGATGCTAATGGTTATTTTCTTAGCTTGTCACTGTCTTCAGAGAGCATGGGAGATTGATGTTAATATAAAACAGAATATTAGCTGCTTCTGAAATGCCAGCATGTTGTAGACTGCTATTTTAAATGAAGATAAAACTAAAAAAGGGGATAGAGCCCCACATAGAACCCCCAAAAACTAAATTTGATGGTTAAATGCATCTTTAAAAAAACAACAGCAGACATTGTCTCTGGAAAGCGTTTTAACATTTCCTCTCTGGAACAAACACTGTTTTTATTAAAAGTAATGTTGAGGTGAAGTTATAATAATCCCAATGTAATTAACAATGTTTATCGCTTTCTATAGTCTAAGGAAGATTAAAATGGTCTCTGAAAGTTTTCCATTTGCTGCAGGAAAATGAAGACCAAAAACAGAATTGTGGTCAGTGTTAGAGGAATTAAAGAATGCCAAAGTCCAAAGCCAAGAACAAGAGTTGGTGGTGAAAGTCATGATTATTATGATCCAGATATTGAGGCTGAAACCATTTGAATTCATTGCCTGGGGATTAATGCCAATGAGTATTTCCTTTAGAGCTCTGTGTGAGAATATGTTTCAGGTGGCCTCAAATATACGGTTACTGTTAGGTAAAATATATCTGTTAGAACCTTCTTGTTTCTGTAGCACACTGGCAAACATGCCAAAACATGCAACGCTCAATCTCTCATAGTCACAGAAACTTAGAAACACTCACATCTGATCAAACGAACACACGCCTCCAGAGCCCCACACGGGCCGACATCCTACACCACAGGCCAAGAAACATAACGTTGCTGTTGCAGTATCACCTCCAAACCCTTGACACGCACACTAGCCAGGTTGTGTGTGCGCGTGTGTGCTTTAAACAGACGTGTCAGTTTAGACTAAGGTGATTGGCTTGCTCCGACCTGGCTATGGCCCCTCGGGGGTATCCCAGTGTCCCGCCATCCCAATGTGGGAAAGCAGAGTGTTGGATGCGATATTCTATAGCGCCAGCCTGGCTCCTGGGCAGCAGACAGCTAAATCAGTCACAGATTGGATTATAAAGGCTGAGTTATGAATGCATCTTTATCACGCAGACAAGTACTGGCACTTGTGAAAGTATTCTTGTTATTGTTGTTGTGAGCAGTCACTCAGACTTAATACAGTATCCAGATCAGGCTTGAATGAATAATTCTGTACGTAAAATTACTCCTTTGATTCTATGTCTTCTCACCCATTTTTTCCATTTGCATTCCCTCTCTTTCTGTCTCCACCTTTCACTTATTGGTTCGCCTTTCTTTTCAACCCTCAGGTCACAGACTTGGTTTCAAAGTGTTGATCCTCATCTGAAATCTATTGCAATCAACGCAATACTGGACATGAAATACAGGCCTGTGAGATCCGATATGTGAGCGTACATGCCTGTTTGTGCTCAGATGGCTTTTTGTTACAGTTTCAGTCTGAAATAATCAATGGACAAACGATAGAATGATTCTGAACGCTGCGTTTGGGAACGCACTGTGTTGTTGTATACAGTTATATCTAATCATTTTTAATTCTGTTATATATATTTACTGCCATATTTACATTTGTTTTTTTTTTACTTTCTAACTCCACCACCGTAACTGCTATATTAAAATAATATAGAAAAC